GATGAGGTACGTATGAGGAGTGGTGCGCGGGAGTGGTGCGCGGGAGTGACTGTATAAAGAGTTTGAAAAATTCACTCGGGTGATAGGGCAATTTTTTCCCTACTGAACTGTTTGGTCGGTATTGAATCAACATTTACTTAAATAACATTCAAAACGGGGTCGTTTCAAGATCTGCGACCAAATCTTGGTCGCTAAAAATTTTACAGATGTTTCCAATTACAATTTTACAAATGTTTCCAATATTATCAACTAATTTTTTTTTTCAAATGTTTCCAATTTTGAAATTTTTTTGTTTTTGTTGTGTGGGTATATACAAAATGTATTTACGTAGTAGTTTAAACCAATAGTGTAATACGACATCTTATGGATTGAATATAATTAAGTCATTATTTTAAAGTAGTTGACAAACTATTTGTGATTTCTCATATTTTGAGCATCACATAGGCAACACCATATGGTACTCGAAGACTATGTAATAATTTACGTTTAAAACACATCATTTATAACCAATAAGATCTGTTTAAAATTTTTTGTCAAATAAAAATTAAATAGATTTTATAATATTTTGTGCTATAAATGATGTGTTTTTATTTTCTAAAATTAGGAATTTTGAAACCTGGTAAATTTTTGTGCCAAAATTAGAAACTAACATTACCATCCCGTACCGATGTATTACACACTATTATAAAATTATTCTTATCTTTATATTGATCATGATTTTTTTAAAAATAACAAATTATAATTAATAACTGTCCCCTCTAACTTAATTTCATGGCTCCGCCACTAGCCACCGCAACATGAAGCCCATCTCCAATGGAAGTAAACAAAGCCGAAAAGCCAGCAATGGAGGCTCCACCAGCTCTAATCCCCAGCCTAAGAATAAGATCAAGCGTGGTCGACTTGTTTCCATAGAACGACAGTGGACCCACTATCAAATTAGTCAAACTGATGGCAACTTAATCGATGTGGAGCCCTAGCCCTAGCCTATGGCTATTAATGAGTTGCTCTGTGGTATCACCACCACAAGGCTTACAGCCATATGTGCTAATCGAGATCTAGGTATGAATATTTTTTTGGGTAAACTACCAATAGGTCCTAATACTTAGACTTAATTCCCATCAAGTCCTATTGAAAATAAGTCTTGGTAAAATTGTTGTCAGTGATAATTTTTTCGTGACAATTCTTAATATATGTCGCTAAAAATAGACAATTAGTGACTTTTGTTGGTCCTGATTTTTATAAATTGTCGCCAGAACTTACAATTAGTGACTTTTTTTATGACAAAATTTTCTCATAAGACTTATTAGACAATACGTCCACCTATTAGGATCTACACGTAAGTAGCCCTATTTTCTTCAATGGGTTGGATCTGTAGGAGATATAGAAGGATGGCTTCGACAATGCAGGGTGATGGATAAATGGCTTGAAGGAGTTCTTACTTCTCGCCACACCAACCCTTTCAACTCCGAGGTTGATTTCTTAATCAAGATCGGTACGATTTTTATCAGTGGAGGAAGATCTTCATGCCTTAATTGATTCTCAAGTGATAGATAAATGCCTCTTTCCTTCTTACTAGCCTAGCTGTTAGGCCAAGACCGCCGATGGTGTCGGCGATGGTGGCAAAGACATACAAAGCGACTTGAGGGATTGAGATCGATGACCCACAAATGGGGAAGAGAGAGCTCCTTCAGATAAGCAAATTCAATTTTTATACATTATGTTTTAGTCGCTAAAAATAATAATTTTGCAACCAAACTTTTGGTCAACAAAGATAAAAAGTAAATTTTTATTTTTCATTCAGCGACTAAATTATTTTAGTAGCCAAAACTATCTATACAATGACTAAAATATTTTTTTAGTCGATGAAATTAAAGTTTTGCCGACTAAAACTTTGGTCGCCAAAGATAAAAAGTAAATTTTTCTTTTTCATTCAGCAACTAAATTATTTTAGTTGCCAAAACTATCTATACAGCGACTAAAATAAATTAAAGTTTTGCCGACCAAAATTTTGGTCGCCAAAGATAAAAAGTAAATTTTTATTTTTCATTCAGCGACTAAATTATTTTAGTTGCCAAAACTATCTATACAGCGACTAAAATATTTTTTAGTCGTTGAATTAAAGTTTTGCCGACCAAACTTTTGGTCGCCAAAGATAAAAAGTAAATTTTTCTTTTTCATTCGGTGACTAAATTATTTTAGTTGCCAAAACTATCTATATAGCCACTAAAACATTTTTTAGTCGCTAAAATAAATTTTTTGGCGACCAAAATTTTGGTCGCCAAATATAAAAAGTAAATTTTTATTTTTCTTTCAGCGACTAAATTATTTTAGTTGCCAAAACTATATATACAGCGACCAAAATATTTTTTAGTCGCTGATATGAAATTTTTGCCGACCAAACTTTTGGTCACCAAAGATAAAAAGTGAATTTTTATTTTTCATGCAGCGACTAAATTATTTTAGTGGCCAAAACTATTTATACAACGACTAAAATATTTTTTAGTCGCTGAAATTCAATTTTTGCCGACCAAACTTTTGGTCGCGTAAGATAAAAAGTAAATTTTTATTTTTCTTTCAGCGACTAAATTATTTTAGTTGCCAAAACTATATATATAGCGACCAAAATATTTTTTAGTCGCTGAAATTAAATTTTTTCCGACCAAACTGTTAGTCGTGAAAAATAAAAATTAAATTTTTATTTTTCTTTCAGCGACTAAATTATTTTGGTTGCCAAAACTATTTATACCGCGACTAAAATATTTTTTAGTCGCTGAAATTAAATTTTTGCTGACCAAACTTTTGGTCGCCAAAGATAAAAAGCAAATGTTTATTTTTCTTTCAACGACTAAATTATTTTAGTTGCCAAAACTATATATACAGCGACAAAAATTTTTTTTTAGTCGCCAGTTGTGGCAAATTTAGCGACTAAATTTTTTTTAGTCGCCAATTGTGAGATTTTCAGCAACAAAATTTTTTTGTAGTTGCCAAAAATTAATATACCCCGACTAAAAAAATTTAGTAGCTAAATATTGTACTTTTACAGACTAACATAATTTTTGGTCGCCAATTCCACAACTTTTGGCAACCAAAATATTTTTAGTCGGCAAAAGTGGTCGCCAATTGTGTATTTTCTTGTAGTGTATTGACAGCTTATTTATTAAAGCACATTTGTATTAAAAAAAATAAATGGTAAGTGTTATTTTAAATATAAAACTCAATACAAATGTATTTTGATGAAAACATTACCAATATCCAATTAATTTAAATTTTTACAAATAGATTATCGAAATATGTCTCCAACTATACTTTAACGAACACACAATAATGAGCACTCCAATTCCTTCTAAATAGCCAGTGAATTTGGTACAAAAATTTCGACGCCCCATCATTAGTCATTTCCAAAATAAAATAAACAAAAATATTTTGAAATTCTAAAACATTAGCTTTAAAAGAGTTCTAGGGGTGAACCCTACTATATTGATTTATTTATTATTATTATTATTATTATTATTATTATTATTATTTATCCTTACCACATAACTAGAACTTTTTTTAGAGCTCAAAATTTAAAGTTTTTTATCATTGTTGTAATATAAAATTAACAAAGTACTAATAAAAATAAGAATAATGATAGGTTTTATGAAAAAATATTATAAAAAATTGGATAAATTATGCAAATGGACCATGTAGTTTACACGATGTGTCAATTTAGTCATTGTTATTTTAATTTGCTCAATTTTGCCCCTTAATTTAATAGATTGTGCCATTTTAATCTAATAAAGAACGGTTATTAAGTTTGGTGGACGGAAAATTTACACAATGTGTCAATTTGATCACTGTAATTTACACAATGTGTCAATTTGATCCTTATCGTTTTAATTTGTTCGATTTTAACAGGGACTAAATTGACACATTGAGTAAACTATAGAGACCAAATTGACACATTGCTTGACTTTTCGTCTACCAAACTTAACAATCGTTATTTATTGGACTAAAATGACACAATCCGTTAAATTAATGGATTGAAATAATAGGGATCAAATTAACACATTGTGTAAATTACAAAGACTATTTGTATAATTTGTCCTAAAGAATTTCATGAAAGTTTTTCGCCCTTTTATTAGTATATAATATTTTACGGAAATGACCCGTACCTCGAATACTTGGGCTCGAAAACTGGCTCGAAATTATTATTATTATTTTTAATTCTTTTCCTTCCTCTGCTTTTCCCTTGCTTTTCAATAACAGTTGCCTTGCTTTTCAATAACAGACAGAGGCAAGAGAGAGAGAGAGAGGAGAGAGAGAAGAGAGAAGAGAGAAGAGAAGAGGAAGCAAAGATAGAGAGAAGAGAAGAGGAAGAGAGAAGAGAAGGAAGATCGGTGATGGCGGTCGGTGATCGGTGGTGATATCTTCGATCATCTTCGATCTTCATCATCGATCTTCGATCATCTTCATCTTCGATCATCTTCGATCTTCATAAAAAAAAAACAAGATCTGTGATATCTTTGATAGAGGATGATTTTTTTTTTTTTTTTTGTTGATGAAGATGATGATAATGTTGAAGATGATGAACAAGATCTGCAGAAAAACAACAACAAAAAAAAAATGATGAAGATGAAGATCGGTTGAACTCTGTTCAGTCCACGTATGAATTTAATATCAGCTGGGTTATTCTGTGTTGTTCTGTCCACATATCTGTCCACACAGAACAACACAAATTCATATGTAGATGAAGATGAACCCAGCTGAAGATGAACCCAGGTCTCTGTGTTTTTTAATAGATGATCTCTGTGTTTTTGAATAATAAACCATCCAAATTGATAATAGATGAACCCAACTGAACATGATCAAAAAAACGAGAATGAATGAAAAAAAAAAGAAATTTTTTTTTTCTCCAAAACGACGTCGTTTTGGAGTCGAGCCAATTTCGAACTCAACAAATTCGAGCTGCGTAGCAGTTCCGAATATTTTATTATATGTATAATCAATGGGCAGAGAATTTTCATAATAAATTTTTTTATGATATTTCTTTTATGAAGCACAACATCACTCTAAAAATAAATATCCATCGAAGACAAATAAAATTGAATTGGGAAATGAAAATAAAGTTCATCGAAGAAGATACACTAGCAAATACAGGTTATGACTGATCTACTATTACATCTGTTAAAAAAAACGTAAACAATGATGGTAAATGCCTCTTCCTCCTCCTCCTCCTCCTCTTCCTCCTCCTCGCATTCTCTTTTATTATGGCAGCGTCTTTTTAGCAGAGGAGAGAGACAGAGACAGAGACAGAGACAGAGAAGGTGTTAACTGATGAATCTTTAGTAGAAACTTAAATTAATTAGCAGAATGTTTGCTGAATTTGGTGAGCGAGTTCCTCCGCGCTAAGCTTGCATTCAATTCCAATCTATCAACAATGTCACACAACACCCAACCATTAGCTTCTCTAATTAGATTTATGTCAAACCATTATGTTAATCTTGGAAGAAAAATAAATAAATAAATAAATTAATTAATCATACATGCTCAAAAAAAATACCCAAAAAATTATCCATAATTTAATTTGGAGAAAATTATAGCCACTGTCAATTTAATCCCTGTAGTTTTAATTGTATTAATTTTATTCCTTAATTTTTTCATAGTTACTTTTTTTTTTTGTCAATCGATAAAAGAATAATTACAAATATAAAAAATATTTAAATCATCAAATAGACTAGTAGCTCACAATAGCTATAAAGTCCACAAAACCTAACACAATCAATATATCAAGTCCAAATCCAAGCCCAACAATCATTACTAAGCAGGGGTGGATATTCGTCGGGCACTACACAATATGAGACTTTGTATCTGCTCAAGCCCTGCCCCGCCCTAATATTGAGCCTCTACATTTTTGCCCAATCCCATTCTACAAAATAATTATAAATCTTAAGCCCACCCATCGGGTTATATATTAAAAAATAAAGAATAAAACATTCCGTAATTAAATTCAATCACATGCTATATTTCTTAAATAAATATATTGAGATCATTATAAATTGAAGGATTTTTTATATAAATTAATTTTTTTTATAAATAAATTCAATCACACATCACCACAAATGTGAGTTTTAATAAAATCAATAAAGATAAAATATAGATTAAAAAAAATATTTTTTAATATATTATAATTAATTAATTAATTTAATAGCGGGCTGGGTTAGGATGGAAGTATAAATCTCAAGCCTAGCCTATTAATATATTGGGCTAAAAATGTTAGCCTAAATTGGTCCTGTGGATTAAAACAACCTTCTCAAGCTGTAAAAAAGTACAGTTGGGCCAAGCAGCCTAGGCGGGTCAACGAGTCAATATCCACCCCTATTACTAACTACATACAACATTTATAACGGGGAGAAATAAATCACACCACAAAAGATATCAAACTCCTTTCCATAGAAGTTAAACTCGAAACCTCACACTACAAAGGGTATTATACAACCACTAAGCCATTTGCAATGATTGCAGTTACATTAATTTAGTCCAATTGATAATATTTTTTAAAAAAATTAGACAAATCAAGGACAAAATGATTCGTTGAAAATAAAATAGACGATTTTACATTGAACCCTATCCCCTCAGCCACTTTGTAGAGAGTGAATGGAGTAATTTACTATATGATTCCAGTCTAATTTGTAAATAGATATTATCAATTAAACTAAATTGAAATTTAAGAGTAAAAGAATGCAATTAAAACTAAAATGAACAAACTGATATAAACTACAAACTACAAAAACTACTAGAAATTTGCCCTTTTAAATTGTGTGGACCAGATTTACACACACCCTACATTCACTATTGAAGTAAATACGGAGAGAGTTTTTTTGAATTTTTATCTTCTTAAAAAATAAAAAATACAAAACAGATTATAAGGACACAAATAATCATAGTTTTCAGTGTGAGTGTCCTTCCTGTGAGAATGCAGTGCACCTAAGATTCATACATAGAGCAGGACAACAAAAACAAATGAATGTGAAATCATCACAAATAATTGTTGAACTTCAAACACAGGTGTATTTTTGACATTTATTAACCGGTGTCTTAAGAATATTAGGTTACAAAATTATTAAATTGTTCTATATTTCTTAAATTATCCACTTTTATAAAAGATTTAGCTAACAAATATTCCTAAGACATAAGAAGAAAAAAAGCGAAATTACATTTTTAATTTCTATAATTTTACTTAAATTTTAGTTTTATTCATATTATTTCAAATTGAACAATTTGGTCCTTAACAATCTAGCTTTAGTTTGGTCATTATATTCAAATTTACGGTTAAAAATAACAATTTTAAACACATGTCATAATGGAACTTTAGGTTCAATGACCAAATTGAAATTCAACCTAAAGTATACAAGGACCAAATTGTTCAAATTAAAATAATAAGAACAAAAGTGAAATTTGACTTAAACTAAATGGATGAAAATATAATTTACCTATAATAAATAAATAAATAATTTTTTGAAGCCCCACTTAAATAAATAAATATATGATTGTGACTTTTGCATGTAACTAAATGAATAAATAAATAAATAAATGAAACCAAAGAAAGATGCTATAACTTTTGCACTGAAAATGACCTGAAAGCCCCACTTAGAATGATTGTGATCCATAAATCTTATTTTTTCTAAATAATTTTTTGAATAATTTTTATGGCTATATAGTATCGTTGAAAAAATAAAAAAGGGATAAAATACAAAATAATTTTCTTCGATCTCACACTGTTTTTTCCCTTTCTTTTCTGAATTTAAAACTCTTTTAAACATTTTTCTTATCTATTTTGTAAAAACATTTGTCAATTATTTCGATACTATATCACAACAATAAGTTTAATATATTTATAGGCAGGGAAGGTACAATTTTTATTAGCATCTATCTTTACAAAGGAATAAATAAACATTGGCAAATATTAGTATTCATGTAAAAGAGTGTATATATGGTGTGTGATTTCGTAATTACATAATTGAAAATTAAAAAAATAATATTACTCTTTCCATCATAAAAAAATATAGTTTTTTTACTCACAAATAAAAAACATAACAAAAATGTCAATGATGTGATATTCATAATAAAACTATGAAGAGTTGTAATTGATAGTTTTATTTTATTTTATGGTGTTCCCTTCATTATTACACTACATAAATTTGTAATTAATCCTATAAAAATTCATAACTTTCATTATGAAAATTTATAATTTTCTTATGATAGGCATATGGAGGATAGTAGGACTCCATAAATATTCTCAGTGTAACGAGGAGCATCAGTTAAAAAAAAGCAATGAAGAGTATTGTTGTGTCCTATTTCATACAAACCTATCCATCTGAAGTGCCACAGCTGAATTATGTCGAAATGTTTGTGCGTGTGTAGGTATGTTTTTTTTTTTTTTTGATCGGTAAAAGGAAAACTTTATTGATGGAAAAGGAAAATTACATCAATAAAGTGGAGCTTGGAGCTAAAACAAGCTCCAACCTCCAAGTTGGTGAGAAACCAACGAGCAAACACAACAGAAGAAAGAGAGAGAGAGAGAGAGAGAGAGAGAGGACAAGAAGAAACACCACATAGTTCCAACATAAAAACAACAAATCAAAGGAAGTAGAGAAACATTTAGGCTAAGTTTGGGAAGTCCCAAATAAGTCAAAAAGCCAAAAAGTTACTCAAAAAGTTAAAAAGTTAACACTATTCACCAAAAGTCAACAATTACGGCTGCACAACTCCCAATTCAAATTTTTCTCTACAAACCAATTTTTACAATTTTTTATTACACATTTTTCCATAAAAAGTCAAAAAGTTAACCCAAACATCCATATTTTCAATCTCAATTTTTTAGTCCAAAAAGACAAAAAGTACACTTATTTAGTCTTCCCAAACTTGGCCTTAGTCGCAGCAAAAACATGTTTACCCCTTTAAGATACTTTTAGGGCTAGTAATCCTGGTAATTTCTATAAAATATATATATGCTTTATCATTTAACTGGGTGTGGGAAGCCAGGCTAGTGTGTATTTTTAAAATATATATTTTTAAATGGTATGCGTACAAATTTTTTACATAATTCATAATAAGAAAAATATAGGAGTGGCATATATGAAATTATACAGGCAATTTGAAAATGAAAAGATGAAAAAAAACCACATCATTCTATACCGAAATTTTGTATTAGAATTTGTTTATATAATATTACTCTTTTTTTTTCTTTTTTTTTTTTTCATCTTCAAAATATTAGAATATTTGTTGGGTTGTTCATAGCACATTTTTTATTTTATTTTATTTTATTTTTATCCCTTTCAAGTGCAAACAAAAAAAAAAAATAAAAAAAAAATGAAGAAGTAGATTGATCTTAGAACAGCATATGAGCTTTTCTGTGTTACCTTGATGGTGAATGAATTAAGCATGTTTTCATCAATGGTGGTGATGCTCAGATGGAGGATTTCAAGTGAGAGGTTTTCTAGAGCTGATATTATCTTCATAGCTTGTCCGGGAATTCGAGATGATACTGTCTTCAGAAGAACATTTGGCCCAGAGAATTTCACCTCAACGTCAGCAATTGATGATTTAGAGTTAGCGAAAAGCTCGTTAACAGTGTCATTAATGGAGGAAGTGCAAGAACAAGAAGAAGGAGATGGGTCAAGTGAAGTGGGCATGGATGTTGGAGAAAGATAACCTTGCTGCTGCAATCTAGGCTTGTAAGGGCTAGTTGGTTGTGGGGTTCTTGGACTTATGGGTAAGTTTAGCCTAGGGCTCAGTGGTGGTTTTCTAGGGCTAAGTGGTGAGGGTCTTGGACTTGAGACAAGCCTTGGACTTAGTACCTCACTGTATAATTTCCTTTGCTTCTTGGCCTCCAGTGACTGTAGAACTTGCTGCAACTCATTGATGTAATCGACAACCCCACCTATTATTGATGCTTGATCACCCTATGCAAGGAAACATGAATTAGAATAGAAATTACAATAAAGAAGACAATAAGCAATTACCCTTGTTAAACTATCTACTTCAAAATTAATTATAACAATGAATTTAAGAATTTATAGAACAAATAACTAAATTTGGGTAACACGTGGAGGTGATGAAGACATTAAAAAAAACAAGAGAATATTAGAGACCACCACTCAAGACCCTACTTTGATACCAAGTTAAATCATTCAATTTAAAATTAATTGACAATGACAGAAGAGATTTCTACATGTATTAATTACGTTTATGCAACTCAGAGAGATAATATGAGACAAGTGTAACAAGCCTCAATCTAAAACAATTTGAGAACCACAGGAAAATTTGAAGAGAAATTAACTTGATTACTATATCTTCTTTGATTTAGTCTTTCTTGTTTCTGGTCTTAGTTTGTTGTTATAAAAAAAATTCTTTCTTCATTAAAAAAAAAAAAAAAACCCCTTTAAAGTAGGCCTTTTGAAAACAATTTACGATGCTCAATTAAACAACAGATGCAACGGGAGGCAAAGAGACTTGGGCTTCCTTTACGAACAGGCTAATTTAGTAATTTTTTGGTTATTTAGCTAAAATATGAGTTAAAAAAAACTACTATGTTTGTGATGACTTTTTGACTTTTTAGGAAAAAATGTGCAAAAAGTAGAGAGAAAAGAGAATCTTTGACTTTTTGGTATGGGTTGTTGGCTTTTTAACTAATTTAGTCTTTTTTTGACTAAAAAAAGAGGATTCCCAAACGAAGCCTTACCTCAAGAGGACATCCAAGACTTAGCTTTAAGTTATCAAACTTAAAACTAATTGAGAACGAATGAAAATGCATCTAAACCATATAAACTACTAAATTTGAATGAATTACAGAAGCAATAAGACTAGCGTGACAAACATAAATTGAGAGCCAAAATAGCAAAATCACTTACTCTTTTGACATAAAAACAAGGCATAAGAGAGCGTAAAATCGACAAATGCTCATTCATCTGCTTCCTCCGGTTTCGCTCGACTGTTATGTGAGATACCTTTTGTTGCCCATCTGGGTTTGCTTCCTCCGAAGAAGCCGTTGCGTTTGCGAGCTTCTGTCTCTTGCTCTTTGGTGAAGAAGCTTCAATCTCAGTCTCAGATTCTATCAATGCACTTGAAGAAGTCGATTTCTGTGAAACTAACCTCATTGTCCCCATTTCTTCACCACCATCCTTCCAACCCAACCCAGTTTGCTCCGGCAGTTCAATCGGAGCAGACTCTGCAACACCACCACCCTCTAAGCTTTCAAGAATGCTGAAGATATCCTCCGGCGAGGCTGCTCCGGCCAAGTGGGTTTTGCCGAATTCAGACTCTTCAAAAAAATCAGAAAAACTGTCGCCACCACCACCACCACCACTGCTGCCGCAACCGTCCATTGGAAAACCGCTTGCCGGAAAACAACTAAGAGGAATTGGGAAGAGGGTTGTAAACTAAAAAATGGAAACTAACTAAAACACAAAGATGTTGAGGAAAATGATTTGGTTGTCGAGATCAAGAAAAGAAAATAATGCCTGAAGGTGTAAATAAAAAGAGTAGATGTGAAAGTGACTGAACTATCACCATCAATCAACTCTCTCTCTTTTTTTTCTTTTTTAATTTTTCATTTTTTTTCATTTTTTTTGAATATATTGGGAGAGAAGGTTTCTCTCTCACTCTCTATGAGTCTTGTATTTACCGTTAGATGGTGGTGACGGGTGGGTTGAGGAATCAATCAATCACGCAGAAATAAGAGAGACGAAAACAGGATGGCCAAAGAAATGAAAGGAGAAACCGTTAAGAGAGAGAGAGAGAGAGAGGGAGAGAGAGGGAGGCATACATAAAGAGGCTAAGGGCGCAGGTTGAGGAAGGGGGGGCTGCTTTGGGCTAGATTTTTTAACTGAAAAAATGCTTTCGAGTTTTTGTTGAGTTCTAAAATCAGTTATAAAAAGTTAGTAGCGGGTCTTATTTATTGTGATATTATGTTTTGGTTTTGATTTATTTATTTATTTATTTTTCTTTTTATTATGCTATTAGTGCTTTATTAGAATATTAAAATTAATATTCTGAATCATTGCTATTTTTTAATTGGAAGCAGCTTGCCTTCAGTTTGAGATCGGACTAGACGGTACTGTTCTACGCGTGGAGGCCCACCACGGGTCCCTTTTTGATAATCTAAACCGTTTAATGTGTAGAACTCATCGAGTACTATATGTTTGTAAAAAATTACGTTGCTCAGATATCGATAGCTATCTCATCGGATTATTTTTTTGTCAACCATTAATTTGTTCATCGTCCTCTTTCTTTTTAATACAAAACTGATTTGATCATATAGCTATTGATATCCGATTAATGTGATTTTTTACAGGCATATAGCACTCGACGAGTTTTACACACTAAATGGTTCAGATTATTAAAATGGAACCCATGGTGGGCCATACGGGCCAAACAACACCGTCGAGTCTGATCTCGAACTGGAGGCAAGCTGCTCTCTTTTTAACTAGGTTCACAATTAAATCAAAGATTTAGGGTGTGTTTGGCGATGATGTAAATAAATATATTTATTTGATAAGTGTATTTATTTGGATTATATTATTATTATTATTATCTTTTTAATAAAAAGTCAAAAAGTATACTAAGGGACGTTTTGGCAAGTTAGTAAAATGCTAACTTTTTGAATTGTTTAAGCCACATCACCTTTTTATTTTTTTATACAAAAAAAGCCAAAAAGCTACAAAAAAGGCCAAAAAATTAATTTTTTTCCATCTTCTCAAAACACAACTAAATAAGCAAATCCCAAACAACCCTCTACTTGTAATCTTTGATTTATGTGAATATTTCAAGGTATAAAAAATTAAAATCATTTTCACAGGGTTCAAATATAATTAAAAATTGATCTAAGATATAAAATATAATTTAAAATATAATTAAATTAAAATTAGATTAACATGTTAAGAATTATAATAAATAATTAAGAATAAATTATGTGTATGACAGACGACAGATAACGAAAATAATAAAAAAATATAGGATTTGAGAGTATTACAATCATTTCATATCTATATAGTTAATGGTGTTAGCGATTGTACTTTTGTCCAAAATCACATGGGTACTTTTTGGCTATATTTGAACCATAAGAGGGTAAAGTGCTATGGGCTCAAACTAAGGGTGTAACTCGGGTGGGTTCAGGCAGATTAAAAGGTTGTTCAAGTCTAACCCGAGTTGTGTGATTGAGAGCTGTCTAGTCCAGCCTAAGCTCGAATTGTAACTTAAGGTTTGTCTGTCCAAGTCTGAGTCGAATTGAGCCTGAGTTGCCCATGTTGCCCGAATTGCGTGAATTGTACAAAAATTGAGTTATTTTTATTTTTATTTATGTGTATGTGTGCGCGCAACTAATTTAATTAATTAGACAAATTATACCGGTGGTCCCTACTTTTTGTTTCTTGTGTTATTTTGGTCCTTACACTTTCAATTGACATAATTTTAACACTTAATTTCAAATTTTGTGTCAATTTAGTCCAATTGATAATGTTGTTAATGTTTTTGACTGAAAATAATCACTAAATTGATTGAGATTAACTCACTGAAGTTAGTAAATTTATAATTTTACTCTAAAAATATGACAAATGCCACTTATATGCATTTTTTTTCCATAAAAAATGCTAAGAGTTATAATCAATTGGACCGAATTGACAAAAAAAAAAAGAAAAAAAGAAAAAAAACAACAACATAAATTCAAGGTCAACCGAACCAATTGAAATTAGAGTAACCAAAATGGCACAAGGATTAAAGTATAGGGGTTACTGTCGCAATTTGTTGTAATTAATTTTTTAAAACACTACAAGAAATTACAACTTTGGCGACTAATTTTGCCGACTAAAGTCAATTTAGTCGCCAAAGGTGTACACAGGTGACGGGTGGGTTGAGGAATCAATCAATCACGCAGAAATAAGAGAGACGAAAACAGGATGGCCAAAGAAATGAAAGGAGAAACCGTTAAGAGAGAGAGAGAGAGAGAGAGAGAGAGAGAGAGAGAGAGAGGGAGGCATACATAAAGAGGCTAAGGGGGCAGGTTGAGGAAGGGGAGGGCTGCTTTGGGCTAGATTTTTTAACTGAAAAAATGCTTTCGAGTTTTAATTGTTGAGTTCTAAAATCAGTTTTAAAAAGTTAGTAGCGGGTCTTATTTATTGTGACGTTATGTTTTGGTCTTGATTTATATGTTTTTTTTTTCTTTTTACTATGCTATTAGTGCTTTATTAGAATATCAAAATTAATACTCTGAATCATTGCTATTTTTTAATTGGAAGTAGCTTGCCTTCAGTTTGAGATCGGACTAGACGGTACTGTTCTATGCGTAGAGGCCCACCACGGGTCCCTTTTTGATAATTTAAACCGTTTAATGTGTAGAAATCGTCAAGTACTATATGCTTGTAAAAAATTACGTTGATCAGGTATCGATAGCTACCTCATCGGATCATTTTTTTGTTAACCATTAATTTGTTCATCGTCCTTTTTCTTTTTAATACAAAACTGATTTGATCACATAGCTATCGATATTCGATTAATGTGATTTTTTACAGGCATATAGCACTCGACGAGTTTTACACACTGAATGGTTCAGATTATTAAAATGGAACCCATGGTGGGCCATACGGGCCAAACAACACCGTCGAGTCTGATCTCGAACTGGAGGCAAGCTGCTCTCTTTTTAACTAGGTCGACAATTAAATCAAAGATTTAGGGTGTGTTTGGCGATGATGCAAATAAATATATTTATTTGATAAGTGTATTTATTTAGATTATATTATTATTATTATTTTTTTAATAAAAAGTCAAAAAATCTACTAAGAGGCGTTTTGGCAAGTTAGTAAAATGCTACCTTTTTGAATTGTTTAAGTCACATCACATTTTTATTTTTTTATACCAAAAAAGCCAAAAAGCTACAAAAAAGGCCAAAAAGTTAATTTTTTTACCATTTTCTCAAACAACAATGATTCATCCCACTAAAAAGATCACCACTAATAGCACTAATGCATTAAAAAAGTAAAAAAAAAAAAAAAACACAACTCCAAGACCAAAACATCACATCATTAATGGCGGGACCCACTGTCATCTAATTAGTGGGAGCACTAATTAGTGCTCCCAAGCATTTTTCTTTCTCAAAACACAACTAAATAAGCAAATCCCAAACAACCCTCTACTTGTAATCTTTGACTTATGTGAATATTTCAAGGTATAAAAAATTAAAATTATTTTCACAGGGTTCAAATATAATTAAAAATTGATCTAAGATATAAAATATAATTTAAAATATAATTAAATTAAAATTAGATTAACATGTTAAGAATTATAATAAATAATTAAGAATAAATTATGTGTATGACAGACGACAGATAACGAAAATAATAAAAAAATATAGGATTTGAGAGTATTACAATCATTTCATATCTATATAGTTAATGGTGTTAGCGATTGTACTTTTGTCCAAAATCACATGGGTACTTTTTGGCTATATTTGAACCATAAGAGGGTAAAGTGCTATGGGCTCAAACTAAGGGTGTAACTCGGGTGGGTTCAGGCAGATTAAAAGGTTTGTTCAAGTCTAACCCGAGTTGTGTGATTGAGAGCTGTCTAGTCCAGCCTAAGCTTGAATTGTAACTTAAGGTTTGTCTGTCCAAGTCTGAGTCGAATTGAGCCTGAGTTGCCCATGTTGCCCGAATTGCGTGAATTGTACAAAAATTGAGTTACTTTTATTTTTATTTATGTGTATGTGCGCGCGCAACTAATTTAATTAATTAGACAAATTATACCGGTGGTCTCTACTTTTTGTTTCTTGTGTTATTTTAGTCCTTACACTTTCAATTGACATAATTTTAACACTTAATTTTAAATTTTGTGTCAATTTAGTCCAATTGATAATGTTGTTAATGTTTTTGACTGAAAATAATCACTAAATTGATTGAGATTAACTCTAAGCTTTCAAAAGATAATCAAAAAACCAAAAACCAAAAAAATTTTTTTCCAAAAAAAAAAAAAAAAAAAAAAAAAAAAAAAAAAAAAAACAACATAAATTCAAGGTCAACCAAACCAATTGAAATTAGAGTAACCAAAATGGCACAAGGATTAAAGTATAGGGGTTACTGTCGCAATTTGTTGTAATTAATTTGTTAAAACACTACAAGAAATTACAGCTTTGGCGATTAATTTTGCCGACTAAAGTCAATTTAGTCGCCAAAGGTGTACACATTAGCTACTAAAAATGTTTTGGTCGCCAATGGTACACACATTAGCTACCAAACATTATTTGGTCGCCAATACCAAGATGTATTAGCTACTAAACTGTTTTGGTCGGTAAATGTGACCTACTTCGCTACTAATGTCATATGTAGTCGGAATAATCTCCACTAATGGCGACTACTTACATGTTAGTCGTTAAATATTAACTTTTGGCCGACTAAATATCACAATGGTCGCTAATTGTATAATATTTATACATTATTATTTTTTGTTTTCGTATTTCTTTAATTTTTGGCTACTAACAGTACTGTTAGTCGTGGAAATAATTGGTTTTGGCGACTAATTGGATTTTGGTCGCCAAATAATGCAGTTTCACCGACTATGTTTTTGGTAGCCAAACGTGCCACGAAATTGTGGAGGGAATATTAATTTTTCATTACATATATTAGCGACGAAAATAATTTTTGGTCGGTAATAAATATTTTTTTCTTTTATTTTCATTGCAAAAGTATTCCATTTCCCTCCCTCTCGCACTCCCGCCTCTATCACTGCTCTGTCTCCATCGCAAGAGTTGCTGTATCATCCCCCGAACTCCCTCCCAGGTATCTCCCTCTCTCTCTTTGTATCTCCCTCTCCATTTCTTAAACATCTCACAAGGCCTCTCGGTTT